TGGGCTCCGGCGATCCTTCCGCCTCAGCTTTCCAAGTAGCTGGAACTACAGGTGCGCGCTACCACGCCTGGCTAATTTTTTTGATTTATTGTAGAGATGAGTTCTCGCCAAGTTGCCCAGGCATGGGATTACAGGCTGAGCCACCAAGCCCGGCTAATTTTTAAAATGAGACTGTACACACTCATGAAGAGAAAGTGAAACAGAAGGGAATTGAGACTCACCCATGCTGCCGGGCACAGCCTCACTGTCTCCGTTGCCTCCTGCTTCCTGCCTCTTGCAGAGGCAGGAGTGAGTGTGAGCCACAGAAACACCACGATGGTCCTGGTGAGTTGGGGTCTTCTCTTCAAAACATGATGAATACATTGACAGAAACATTTGGGCCAGATTATGCACAGTTAAAATATACATGCAAGTCATTAAGTGAAGGTATGGTGTTTATAAGAAAAATGTCTTCAGCGGCACGTGGTGGTATCTCCATTTTTATTTTAACAGAAAATGTCCCCATCCCATTGTATTAAAAAACCCACTAATTGCATAATAACAAAGACTGATTCATCCAGTGTTTTGCATTTATCTAGTTTAAAAATGTCTCCGAATCCTGTGCTGTTCCTCTTGTGCGTTCCATTAGTTAGTTAAAGGACATCTTGGTGTCCTTTAAAAGGTTTTCTTATGTCTATTTTCTCTGTGTCTAGCCTTATCTCGATCCTGCCACCTTTAAATATCAATATTTGTCATCCTTTCCTTAATTCTTGTCAGTCAGTAGTATCTTTCCCTGTACTTAAAATTTTTATAACCCCTTCTTACAAATGTGCTCATATCAGTGCCTCCTTGCATACATGGATACATCTATAAAACTTACATTTTATTTTGTTTTTTTTAAAGATTAAAGAAAGAAGGGCCAATTAACTTCATCTTTTTCAAAACTTGAAAAGAAGCAAATCAAATTCTGTCCTTCATCTCGAATGTTTAGAAGATCACGAGTTCCTGTCAATTAAGTTGTTCTGACTTCATAACTGTTAAAAAAAGAAATAATTAGAATAGAAATCACCAAATAGTTAAATTAAAACCATTTTAATCAAATACATCCAACACATGTACTATAGATTAGTTAAAAATTGGTTGAGACAGTTTACTAGTAATTATTCTGAACTTTAATATGTTTTTCCTCCTTCCCTCTCTTCCTTCCTTCCTTTCCTCTTTTCTTTTTTTCAGTTAGGGTCTCACTCTGTCATCCAGGCTGCAGTGCAGTGGCACGATCATGGCTCACCACAGCCTCAACCTCCTGGACTCCTGGGAGGCAATCCTCCCACCTCAGCCTCCTGAGTATCTGGGACTACAGGCACACCATACACCCAGCTAGTTTTTGCTTTATTTTAATTTTATTTATTTATTTTATTTTTGTGTAGAGATAAGGTTTTGCCTAGGCTGGTCTCAAACTCCTGGGCTCAAGCAATCCTCCCACCTTAGCCTCCCAAAGTGCTGGGATTACAGGCATGAGCCACTGTACCCGGCCTGTTGATTATTTCTAGAGCAAAAGCAAACTGGCTTTAGCTAGTTTTTCCTGCTATTCTTGCTTGGATACTTTAGGAATGAGGGCAGATGAGCTGCAAGAGAAATGAGTGTGACTAATGAAAATATAAGCCTGTCTTTCCCAAGAGCTGAGCTCTGGGAGGGGGCCAAGGGTTCAGAGAATTGGACCAGGGCCCGTCTGGCAGATTCAAGCACATGACCTCAACTTCCTTGCAGGAGCATGGATCTGTGTGTGGTTCACTCTGTCTTCCCTGTGAAAGAGCTTGCCATAAAGCATGGACTGGTGAGAGGAGACCTTGCCCAAGCTCTGCAGGCTGCCCTTCCTGCAGACACCAAGCAATGGCAATTCCTTCAAGGCAAGCGTGGCAGTGTGAAAAGGAACATTCAGAGTGAACCAAGTCAAAGATTGTTGGTGGGGAAACTCTCCTCAGCTTTCTTGGAAAGCGAGAGAAGTGCCATACCTTCAGCTCTCTGAGGCCTCCACTCTCCCCAGCCCATCTAGAAATGGCTACTCTGGAAAAGTCTGTTTCCCACTGTGGACTGGGCTGGACCTGTGAAGAGGAACCTTCTGTCAAGACCTTTGTAAGGAGGCCCTTTGCTACACCCTTCTCCACTCCACACTACTCACGCTGCTCTTGAGAAAGCTTGATTCTCACCTGACAGGTTCACTTCCTCCTTTGCTGTGTTCCAAGACATAGCTTTCATTTGTGGCCTAGGAAGGGGTAGGAAGGCCAAAGGCAAGGCGATTACTATTATAGTCAACTCTCCTTTGGAGAGGATGTATCTATTTTTACTTTTTCACGTGCACTCCTGACTGGGTTGCAGGAACCCTAGGAACTTTGCCATCAGCTATAGTAACCTCCATAAGTAGCAATCCCACATTTTCCCTTCAAACGTTAAATGGAGGTAGATTTTTTAGATTGGGAAACCAGGTATAAGAGAGCCCCCAGGAGTCCAGGTCATAACCAGGAACCCAGGAATCTGACTGCTCTGACCAAGCTGCTCCCTCCATTGGTGGAGAGCTTGAACTTGAAACCTGCTCATTCTAAAAAACAACCCAAATCTTCTTTCAGCTTCTAGCTGTGCCTATGTCCCTTGGGGAAGGCTGTGGAAAGCTGTGGAACACCTTCTGACCTGCTGTCTGGGAGAGAACTGAAGATTTGAAGACAGTAACTCACCAGGGAGATGGTGGAGTTGGGAGCATGGGTGCGGCAGAAGCGTTTGCCCAGAGCCTCTTGGATCTGTAAGAGAGGTGAATGACAGGTTTATGCCAGCCCAGTCTCAGCCGTCGGGCTGCAGGTCAGGCAGGAGGTTAGGTGGGCTGACTCACCTTCTTGTCCATAAGGCAACCAAACAGTAAAATGAAGACACCCTGAGAGGAGGGACATGGGCATTAGCTTGTCAAGGAGGAAAGGTTCTATCCAAATCAAATCGCTTCCTCTTCCTTCAGCTTCTGTCCTCCCGTCTAATGCCCATCTTGGTTTTTCTGTACACTAGCGCCACTGGGTACCTAAGCTCCATTTCAAGTGTGTCATTTTTTTTTTTTGAGTTGGAGTCTCACTCCATCGCCCAGGCTGGAGTGCAGTGACACGCTTATGGTCACCCCAGCGTTGACCTTCTGGGCCCCGGCGATCCTTCTGCCTCAGCCTTCCAAGTAGCTGGAACTACAGGTGCATGCTACCATGCCTGGCTATCAAGTGTGTCATTTTTTAATTATAGAGATGTGAAGTACAAATGAGGGTCAACTACATAAGTAAGCTACATGCAGGTGAAGTTTGGGCTTCTAACTGGCCCTCACTCCCCCTGGTAGGTAGAACAGGTACCCTTTGTGTTATCACGTGCTCTCACCTTCCTCCCTTCCTCCCTCCTCTGGCAGTACCCGGCAACTGCCATCCCCGCTTTGTGCTAATATGACTAGTGTTCAGGGCCCACTTATGAGTGAGAACACACAGTATTCAGTTCTTCGTTTCTGTGATAGTTTACTTAATATGATAGTCTCAGGTGTGTTTCTTATTGTTATGGTATCCAAGGAGTGGGTACTGACAATGTTTTGATTTCTCTGGCAAAATCAACTTTATCTGTATTATTTTACAGATAAGAAAACCAAAGCCCAGAGAGGTTATGTAATTCATCCAAAGTTATCCAGCTAGTCAGTGAGGATACTTTTATCCATCCCCAAGATTTCTACAATTCCTGAACCCGATGTTTCTTCTGCTGTACCATGATCCTTCCTTGAGAAGGGATTGGCAGTGACTTAGACCATCTATTTTCAAGAGCAAAAAGTAGAGCCACCACCGCACACCTACCTGGAAGGTGTTGAGAACGGTGAAGATGTAATGAGGGACCGTGGAGACTTCATCTAACAGAGTGGCCAGGCCCAGCCCCCAGGTGAGACCAAAGATGGGTGTGAGAATGAGCAGGGCTTTGATCACCCCCAGGAGAGCCTGGCGCTTCTCTGCCGGGGGCCCCTCTGACAGTGACGGTCTCAGCAACTTCAGCACAGCCATGGCTAGTACCAGACCGTTCACACCCACAACGGCCAGCACTGGTCCCACGAAGATGTAGAGTGCCCCTCCCTCCCCATCCAACCAGCATTCTCCCTCCCTCAGGTATTGCCCACGAGGTAGGTAGAGGCCCAGGGTGACACCTGCAAAGCCCAGTGGGCACAGGTAGCCAAGGAGCAGCATCAGGGGGAGAACTCGCTGCTTGGACAGCTGATGGAAGACGAAGACCAGCTGATGGGCCAACACCAGGGCCTGCGCCAGCATCCAGAAAAAGGTGGCTAGGTAGAGGAAGTGACAGAGGAAAGCAGCAGCGAGGCAGAGCTTGCTGCGGGGCCCCAGAGGGAGCAGGTGGGTTCCCAGAAAGCAGGTGTCTGCGGTCAGCAAGCAGAGCACCATGTTGATCAGGGCAGCATGGCGGAAGTAAGCAACTTTGTTCCGCACCACGACCCTCCACACCAGCCTGTACACGCCCAGGCACACGAGCAGCGCCAGTATGGAAGCCCCCAAGCCCACCTGAGTCAGCAGCGTCAGGGAAGGTTTTTCTAGAACAGTGTGTCGAGACATGAGGGTGGAGAAGGCAGTGAGGTGCTGGCAGACACACTGAGTGGTGCGGTTGGCACCGGCCACCTGCGCCTGGCACCCTTCTTTGGACCAACCCCCCCTACCCTGGAAGAGTTTGTGATCCCAGAAGACACAATGAGGGGTGCCATCTGTGTCCCCAAAGTCCATGATGACCTCTCCCTGGTGGAAGGTCTGGCTGGCTGCTGTGATGGAGATGACGAGGACCAGACCAGGCGTGGCGTAGAGGGAGTCCCCCAGCCCTTGGCCATAGTTTTCAGGCAGCAGGTGGTCCAGCTTTCTCAGCACCAGACTAGTAATACTGAACTTGGTTCTGTTATGGACCAGCGAGGCCAGTGAGTGCCCAGGAATCTTTGCCTGCAGTGGGGGCTGAATGGAGAAGTATACTCTGTAGTCAGCAGGAACTGGGGGCTCAAGGAGCTGGCTCTGCAGCAGCACGTTGGGCAAGCTGAAGTTGAAGGGCTGATCCTGTAGGCTCAGGCTGCATGCCATGGTCTCCACAGCCAGCAGGAGATTGGAGCCCGCCCAGGGCTTCCGGGCCCGGGCCAGGGTCCACTGAAAACTGGTGTCCATGTCCAGAACCTTGTCTGCTGTTCTCAGGAGATCCTGCAGCACCCAATGGAGAGTGAGTCTGGTCTGCCAGTGCCCACAGTACTGAGCCGGGGCACTGAGACCCAGAGACCCAGAGACCCCCAAACGTACCCTTCCCTGGCCAGTGTTAAGACTGAAGTTGGAGAGGAAAAGGGAGAGGAAGACAGGCCTGTGAAGGGACCCTTTTGGATGGGAAAGTTGGGAGCTGCTCAGCTACCTGCCTGGGGTCATCTTCCAGTATGTGGTCCCCTAATCCACACCCCACCCCTCTGCCTGGCAACCCTTCTTCTCTTCCATCCCTAGGGACTTCCCAATCCTAAGTGGGTGTGTCTTCCATCTTGGATCCTTCCAGGCCTGCAAAGCTAGGAACCGTGACCAGTGGTAGAGGGCACAGTGTTCCAAAGGCAAGGGCCACACGCATGCCTGTGCACCTACGTGTCTACATATTCCCAGACATGAAAGGTGCATAATGTCATTGCATTTGTCATTCTTCTGGCTGCAGCATATGAGTCACTAACGGATGACCCCATTGAGAGCTGATTCAGGTGAGCCCGCAAAGCCAGGTGTGCTTAGAGTATCTCCAAGTGAGCATCCTGTGTGTGTCTTAGCACATACCTGCATGTGCAGGCATGCCTCTGTCCCCGTGTCTCCACACCCTTTCCTGCCTTCCAACCTCCCAGGTGTTCCCGGCATCAAGCTCTTCCACACTCTGTAACCTTGGAGACTAGTGTCCAGGAAGAGAAATGGGTCAAGGGAGCAGACACATGGACTCTAGAAAGTTCTACATTATCACAGCCCATGGTGGTGTCAGAGGGACGGAAGTACCCACAGGTGAAGAGCCCCCGCTCCCCTAACCTCCCACTGCCCAGCTGATCCTCACTGTGACTCAGAGATCTCACCTCCAGGGCACGGTGGTTAAGCTGTATTCTGGTCTTTGCTACCACCTTGGCCAGATAATTCATGGTGGCCAGCAGTGTCAGTAAGTCAGAGGGTGAGCTTGCCACTACCGCCTGCCCTGGCAGTTGTTCCAAGATCTGTGGCACCTCCTTGTCAGGACTGCCCTGGCCTGCCAGCAGCAGCTGAGACAGAAAAGACAACAGAAAGAGGAGGTGGAGGGAGAGTCCTCATGAGGGAGTGGCCACCACTTTCCCCTCCTGTCCAGCTATTTCCCACTCTCATCCCCACAGCCTGTCCCAGAGGAACAGGAGGCAGAGAGGGGAGTGGACCACATGGAATGAACTGACACCAATGTTAGTGGAAGGGACACATGATGGAATTGTGGTTTAAGAATAGCATTCCACCCCCATGGAGAGTGCTTGCCTCCTAACCTCCCCCAAGTGGGATGGGTCTCAGGGGGAAATGATCCTCAGACTGGGTCTGGAGTGAGGCCCACGTGGGTCTCTGTCCTCTCCACAACCTTTCTTGTCTTTCAGCCTCCTGTGTGTGTTTCCAGCATCAGGCTCCTCCACACTCCATAACCTGGGAGACTAGCATCCAGGAGGAGAAATGGGCCAGGGAAGCAGACGCTTGGACTCTTGAAAGTCCTACTGTGTGACAACCCATGGTGATGTCAGAGGGATGGAAGGCAGTGGAGGGGGAGGTATGTGGGTAGCAGGGCTGAAGCTTTACCTTGGCTCTAGCAAACAAGGCCAGGAGCCTCACGTCTGTGCAGTTGCTATGGACATGTCCCCAGACCCCGTCGGGCCCGCAGGGCCTCTTCATCACACCCCTCTTGTCTTTGGGACATGGGGCCTGTGCCACGTGGCCAGCCTTGGTGACATTCCAGGTGACAACCGAGGAGTCCTCTGGGCAGGTGATGTCTCCATCTGAAGAGTGATGGTCAGGGAGGACTCACAACCTAGCCCCAGTCTTTCCTCGGGCAGGAATCCATGCAGGTTCCAAGGAACTGTTGTTGCCCAGGGTGGGATAGTGCCAAGAAGGAGAGCTCATGCTCCGTGGACAACCAGCTGAGGTCAGCCCACTGGACCCCAGGCCCCACATACCCTGGATGATGGTGATGAAGATAGGAATCCTGAGAGCATCCAGGTCCAGGCTCTGGAGGTCACAAGTGTACATGGTGTCAATGGCCGGGCAGTGCTGAACGGCCAGCACAAAGCACTGAAAGCCAGACGTGTTGAAGGAGGAGGCTGATGGTAAGACAAGAGAAGGGACTATCACTGGGCCTGGAACAGGCCTAGCACCCAGCAGGCCCTGACGTGCTCTTTCAGTCTTTCTAGCAATTTCAGAAGCAGGTGAAGCAGTGAGGAAGAGCCCAGTGGTGTGTGGGACAGAGCTTGGATTTGCTGAAGGACAGAGCTTGGATTTGCTGAAGGGGACTGGGGGGTTGGAAGGGTTGTTCTCTAGGACTCTGTTTCCACAGTTTCTTCATTTGTAAAATGGTGACTGTGATCAAACTATCCTCACAGAGGGTTAAATGAGATTGTGTGGGCAAAAGCGTTTTGCAAAAGTTTCCTATACACATGTAGTTAAGTTACAACCATAGAAGTGGAATTGTTCAGATGGGGTAAAAACAGTGTTGAACTTGGACCTCAGCTCCCTGTTTGAGAAGCCTCTGCTTCTCATGGGCTGAAGACCCAGCTGCCTGGAAGACATTAGCTACCCTCTTTGGCCCCCGACCCCTGCAGTCGGCCCCTTCTCGTTACCTCTGCTGCCCTCTCTGGGGCTCCAGGTAACAGTGTAGGCCAGGTTTGTGCTGGGGATGCAGCAGCTCAGCTGGAAACCAGGGGAGGTGGCACAGGAGATGGAGAGCTGGTCTGGAAGTCGAGCCACATCTGTCTTCCTCAAGGGCACCCTCACCACCTGGTACAGGTACCACTGGAAACCCTGGGCCTCAAAGCAGCTCATGTACTCACCTGCAGACATGTGTCTGTTACAACTCGGAGCTCCTCTGGGCCTACCTGTGCCACAGAATCTCTGTGGTTTCCCAAGCCACAACCCAGAACCTCCTCCTGGCTCTCCTCCTCTGCTCATGAAGCAATTCTAGGAAGAAGAGATCCGTAGAAGAGGCTTCTGGGCCTTTTAATCAGCCTGTGTCCATAGATTCTGTGGTGAACCTCACTCACTACAACAGATGCTCTTCCTGCACCACCCCTGCCACTGTGGTGTATTTTTTTTTTTTAAGAGTCGAGGTTTCACTCTGTTGTTCAAGCTAAAGTGCAGTGGCACAATCACAGCTCACTGCAGCCTTGACTTCCTGGGTTCAGGTGATCCTCGCACCTCAGCCTCCCGAGTATCTGGGACTACAGGCGTGCACCATCGTGCTGGTTTATTTTTTTGTGTTTTTATAGAGATGGAGTCTCACTATGTTGCCCAGGTTGGTCTCAAATTCATGGGCTCAAGCAATCCTCTGGCCTCAGATTCCCAAAGTGCTGAGATTAGAGGCGTGAGCACCCGACTCCATTTTAGTGCCTTGAAAAACATGAATCTGTTCTTAGCTGAAATTGACACCCTATTTTTAGCATTCTCCACATTGACATTTTTGTTAACAGAAATGTTTTTATGAAAAATATATTTTCAAAATTATATTTAGAAGAGTGATATTGTTTTACACTCTTGCATATATACAAAAATCAACTCAAGATGGATTAAAGAGTGAAGTATAAGGCTGAAAACTATAAACATCTCTTTAATGCCTGGCTTAATAGAAGGCAGCTGGGTTCTCCTATGTGTTTCTGCCATCATTCAATCTAGGCGACTTCCCTGTGGCCTTTGAAAGAGGCCACTGTCTATTCTTGAGGGAATTAGGGTGAAAGAAGGAAACATCTTAGTGTTTTAAGACAATAACTTGACTTTGTGAACCCTTAAAAGAGTCACAGAAGTCCCCAGGCCACAGTGAAAACAGCTGGCCGTTTTTAACACTTTCTACATTATTAATTTGTCACATCAATGGGCCTCTGAGCCTTTGTTTCCCCAGAATGAATAAACAGAACGATGAAAAGGGTAAGGAAGAAGTGACAAGAAGGAGGGAGAAAGAAGGGAGAGGGAGAAAGAGGTGAAGGAAGGCAGAAAGGAAGAGGAGGAGAGAGACAAGGAGGACAGGCTACCTGCCCAGTGGTAGGACATGTTGGAGATGCTCAGGACAGCCTGACCCTGGCTGGAGCTCAGGGACACCTGTGTCCCTGGATGCAGGGGGATGGGGCTGGGGCTCTGTGGTTGCCTCAGGAACCAGTGCAGGTTGGTGACTTCCTGGTTCAGGAGCAGAGTCAGGTTCAGTGTGTTGCCAAGCATCTGCAGCTGGGAGTTCAGGCTCAGGGTCCCGGGGACTGCAGGGAGGCAGAAGACAGGAGGAGGGACTCATGGCCCTTGGACGTAGCTAAGCATTCCCTCCTTCCCACCTCTGAAGCCCATTCCTCCGCACCCCGTCCCGCCTCGCTTTTTTCCTTCCTTTTGTCTCTGGATGGTCATCTGAGTGAGGCCCACTGGCAGTCCAACCTAGAAGACCCAAGCTGTCATTGGGAACTACTGAGAGAACATTTTTGACCTATGACTCTCTCTCCCAGGCAACTTGGGGTTGCTTGGAGCCACTTCCTGGCCTCCCAGGGGAAAAAAAACAGGGTCACTTTAGCCCTTCCTCCCATTGTCCCTGTGTCTCTGGAGCCCTGTCCATTAGTCTCACAACTGGGGTCTTGAGCTCAGGACCTGCGCCCTCCTAGGATGGCTGGATTTTTCTCCCACCCAGAAGAGCAGCTGGGCTTGGACCAGCTGGCCGAAACTCAGGTTCAGAGAGTAAAAAGCATGAGAGCATTTCTTTCACTTGAAGTCATTGGTTTCCAAGTTCCCAACCTTCCTCACCAGGTGGCAACAACTGGCAGTACCCAGGTTCAGGATGGCTGAAGACAAGACAGCTACAATGCTGATGGTTGTGGGCGTGTTGGCAGGACTGGTGACGGGAGCAGACGCTGGCGTTCCATTGGTACCCAGAGAGGCAAGCACAGTGGACAGACCCCTCGTGGTCGACATTACACTCTGGGGCAGAGAGGAGGAAAAGATGTAGGCAGGCTGTCTGAGAAAGACAGGTGGCAGCACCAACAGCCACCTGACGCCCGACAGGCTGTAGGGCTGGGCATCTGGATCAATCCCAAAGCCTCCATCAGGCCCACCCATCAGGACGGCCTCCTCAGTCAGGGCTTGAAGCAGCAGAGGTCGGGCTGGGCAAAGGTGTCAGGGGTGAGGATGGAAGTCTGGGTCACAGCGTCGGCCCCTGGAACCTTTGCCAAAGTTAGAAGATGGGGTGTGAGACAGGCAGGCAAGGGTCTGTCTGGTGGGGAGGTGAGGAAGGGGCTGGGCCAGGGAGAAAGAACCAGGTCACCTTCCAGGAAACAGGCAGGGGCTCAGAGGGGCTCGGGCAAGCTGGCTGTGGGAGGGTTGGGAAACCCACGTTCCATCCACTCTGAGTCCCCTTCCCACACAAGTGTTACCTGTCGTGAGATTGAGGCCAGTGAGAGTTCTTGGGGAAGAGGAAGCCGAGGCAGTGGGGAGGGTCAGGTTTCTGGACAGTGCCAGTGGCCAAGTCTTGTCTGAAAAGTCCAGATTTACATAGACAGAAACCAGGGCGAACTCTAGAGAAGCAGAGGGGACAGCTGGAGAGGAGAGGCAGCAAGGCCACAAGCCAGTCCCTTCTTGACTTCCACCCCTAGCCTGCCACTCCCAGGAACACGGCAGATCCCCCTCATGCAGCCTATCTAGGTGCACAGACAGGCGTCAGGGAGGGCACAACTCCCTGCCAGGCACGGTGCATTTGAATACCTGGCTTCAGGTCATCCTCCCAGCAGCCCCCATTTTACTGACAAGTGTCAAACAGGAAGAGCTCCTCCAGGCCCCAGAGCAAGAGAACTCATGACAGGCCTCTCTGGCCAATGCTAGAACCAGTCCTGCCTCTACTCCTGTCAATCCCTTGCTGTGCCCTTTCCAGGTCTTTCCTTTTGACCTCATTCCCTTCTTCCATCTTCTCTCCCCTCCTCCTCCTGTTCATCCACTCACCCCCTGCTCCACTGCCTTGGTACAGGTGCTGTCCAGATCCTCCTCCAGCCTGACTCTGTTTCTGGAACAGAGCACAGAGGAGTGTCCTCTGAGGAGAGGCCAACCTCGAGTTCCCTCCCAAGGACACCGCAGGGGCTGGCCTGGCTAGTCTGAAGCAGCATGAGCGTGGTCTTTTGGAAACTCTTCTTTTTGCTGGGAATCGAGTGTACACAAGCAGGAAGGAAAAGCAGGCTTTGGAGGGGTGCCAGGGTGCAACCCCAGGAACTGCACCAGGGACTGCAAATCCCACCTGAAACCCGGAACCAGGCGCACCCTGGGAGTCAACATGCTTTGTTTAATTCCTTCCTGAATTTACCTGTCCCTGGGCCTCTAGGTTAATTGAAATGGCTGAGTCTAGAGCTGGCTGGGGCCCAAGGGCTCAGGGACTTTATTCCCTCTACCAGATTTGACACAAGTGAGCAGAAGGCAGCCTCTTCCCATAGTGTCTGGTTCCTGTACATTATATCCTCACCAACTTCTCCTGCTACCAAGATTGCTTGTGCATGTGAATATCTACCTAACACCAGATATTGCTAGAGATATGGATATGAATAAAATATAGGTAGATTCAGATATTGATATATAGACAAGGATATGGATAGATATAGTTTAGAAGTAGAGGTAGATTTAAGTTTAGCTATATAGATATATAGATGAGAGAGAGAGAGAGGGAGAGAGAGAGAGCATGAGAGCAAGCGAGCTCAATCTGGAAAATTTTTCTTTTTCTTTTTTTTTTTTTGAGCTGGAGTCTCAATCTGTTGCCCAGGCTGGAGTGCAGTGGCACACTCATGGCCACACCTGCGTCGACCTGCTAGGCTCCAGCGATTCTTCCGCCTCAGTCTTCCAGGTAGCCAGAACTACAGGCACGCGCTGCCACACCCGGCTAACTTTTGATTTATCGCAGAGATGAGGTCTCGCCAAGTTGCCCGGGCTGGTCCCGAACCCATGGGCTCAGGCGATCCACGTTCCTCAGCCTCCCAAAGTGCTGGGATTACAGGCTGAGTCACTGAGCCCAGCCTCTTTTATCATTTTTAAATGGCTAGCTTAACTGGGAGAGTCTTTATCCAAAACGCAACAGGTATCATTGGAGCTCACAGGGACTCAAATAAAAAGACGAAAGCTATCCCCACACCCTGGAAAATAGGACTCTCGGAGACTGTATACCAAACTGGCTTCTTTGTCACACATTGCTTCCTCACTCATTAGTCCTTTCCCTTCTCCCTGCCCTTTCAACCATCGCACCCCTTGCTCTCCCTCACAACCCGAGGCCCCACTGTCACCTCTGCAGAGCTTCCCTGGGTCCTCACCCCAGTCTACTTACAGGTTGGGGTGTTCCATCAACTGGTGACCCCAGCCGGAGAAGAGTCATGGCCAGGAGCAACAGGGGGGCAGCCGAACAGACCATGGCTCAGTGAAGCAGTCCCTACCAGCCCATGATGCAAATTTCCTCCGGAGATGGGAGGGAAGAGTAGGAGGGAGCCAGGGCCGAATTTACAGAGGAAGTGCTACAGCCCCTGACTTGGAGTCAAATGGGCATCTGCGTCACGGTGGGGTCACCTGGAGCCCACCTGCCCTAGGGAGAATGGTCTGCCCGGGTTCCCCTTGGAATCTGGACCAAGGACTCAGTGAGTAGGAGAGGGCTTTAGGCGGTCCTAGGTCACAACCAGAAATGTTTCAATAAGCCACATTCTCAAGAATCTGGGAAATCAGGATAGTTCTGGAACCCTCCCTTCAAGGAGGCTGGCTCATTGATCAAAAAGTCAATGTTAGAAAAGAAAAGAAAGTAGAGCTGATTGCTACCCTAAAATAATTTCCAGATAAATCATAATCTTTTTTTTTTTAAAGAGATGATGCCTTGCTCTGTTGCCCAGTCTCCTCCATTATAGCTTACTATAACCTTGAACTCCTTGGCTCAAGTGATCCTCCTGCCTCAGCCTCCCAAGTAGCTGGCTACAGGTGCACTCCACCATGGTCAGTTAATTTTTTAATTTTAATTTTTGTAAAGATGGAGACTCGCTATGTTGCCCAGCCTGGACTTAAACTCATGGGCTCAAGTGATCTTTCCACTCCAATGCCTCTTCACCCATTAGCTGGTATTACAGGCATGAACCACCACACCCACCTGACAAGAGTCTTAAATGCTAAAAAAGTATCTAAAAAAGTACAGGAAGCAATTGTCAAGGCAATTTCACAAAATAATTTTGAAGTGAGGAAGGTTTTTAAAACAAGACACAAAACTGAGAAGCCAAGAAGGAAATACATTTGACTGTCTAAAGAGTTTTTAATTTGGCATGAAAAGAATAATTTTCTTAACATAAGCATTTTCTTCTACCTCACATATCAGTAAGATAAAAAATAGGCAAAAGATGGGAACAGGTAGTTCACTGAAAAAGTAATATAAATAGTTTGGCTGGGCATAGTGGCTCATACCTATAATTCCAACACTTTGGGAGGCTGAGGTGGCAGGATCGCTTTAGCCCAGGAGTTCAAGAATAGCCTAGACAATACAGTGAGACCTCATCTCTACAAAAACGTTTTTTAAAAAAAAATTCTCTGAGTCGGCATCTCACTCTGTAGCCCAGATTGGAGTGTAGTAGCACGCTCACAATCACTGCAGCCTTGACCTGCTGGGTTCAAGTGATCCTTCCGTGTCAGCCTCCCAAGTAGCTAAGATTACAGGTGCATACCACCATGTCTAATTTTTTGTACAGATGAAAAATTGCTACGTTGCCTAGACTGATCTCAAACTCCTGGGCTCAAGCAAACCTCCTGCCTTTGTCTCTCAAAGTGCTGGGATTATAGGCGTGGAGCACTGTGCCTCTCTTTATAATAGAAAAAAATCTTTATGAAAATATCAAGTCTTACAGTCTCCACTTCTTTCTTTTTTTTTTTTTTTTTTTGAGTTGGAGTCTCTCTGTCGCCCAGACTGGAGTGCAATGGCCGCTCCCGGCCACCGCAGCCTTGACCTGCTGGGCTCCGGCGATCCTTCTGCCTCAGCCTTCCAAGTAGCTGGAACTACAGGTGCATGCTACCATGCCCAGCTAATTTTTTTTATTTATTGTAGAGATGAGGTCTCGCCTGCCCAGGCGGGTCTCGAACCCGCGGGCTCAGGCAATCCACTCACCTCAGCCTCCTAAAGGCAGGGGATTACAGGCTGAGCCACCGAGCCCGGCTCCACTTCTTTCTTATGGACCAATCAAGTTCAGAGTCCACTAGATTTGCCCAACTGTCATGAGTCAGCAGGAAACACCCACTGAATCAGACAGGCCTGGCGGGGTGGGGGTGGGGTGG